ATATATTGACTATAGTTCTAATTTAATGAACTGCACATTTTGCATCTATAAACGACATAGATTTAATGAATGCAAGAGGAGAACATGATATTTTTCATAAGGTGTTGTATTTAGTTCATAAAAACGGTTTTATTAACTGACTTTGCAACTGGCAAGGTAGAGTTAAAAAGTGTTCTTTGTTATGATTTACGTTAATTGCATTAAATAAAACTTTAAAACGTGTTTTATGAATGTATAATACTTTTTAAACACTTTTTCATAATATTAGAGGACCTTTGGTGTATATGTGAGTTGGAGCCTCCAGACCATGACAAGGTACTCAGCAACGAGGAATTTGTTGAAAAAGATAAAGTACTTCTAAAATGCTTTTTCAAGAGAGAAAAATAATTTGCACAATATAACAGTTGCTCAACAAATACTTACCCCTGGCAGAGAGGAGTAGTGGACTTTGGTAGCCCGTCCGTTACAGAACTCCATACATTTAAATAGCTTTATAGCATTAGCGTCTCAATGGCTTTATTATAGTAGCATTAGCGACAGCTTTATTTAATTATTATTAATTTATAGCATTAGCGACAGCCATGGTGTTGCACTTCCATGATTGTTAGTTAATCTTACATTTCTCAAACAGTGACGTTCCACTGAACTTTTACGAGAGAGGCCTCATTCTATTGTTACCCCTTTTTGAGAAACTTGTGCTTTGCTCCACATTTAACTTTTTTTTAAAAAACATTTATTAAGTTCAATCCCATTAGGCACTATACGGAAAGAGAGGGATGCCTGGTGGAGGAATTTTAACGGTGTTACACATGGAAAAAATCACAAAAACGCCCATGCAGCCAGCCCATTCAAGGGACTCGAGCCTTGGACCGAACTACCAGCGTTCAGCGGGTCTGATAGTCTCGTGCAGCCACTGATGGGCCATGCTGAACATTTCACCACTGTTGATGTATATAATGAAACAGTAACCACTTTCTCTACACAAAAATCTTACACAAAGCACTTTCTCTATGTAGATACTTTCTCACGAGTAGTTTAAATAATTACTAATCTAGTATTAAGCTATTGTAATGATGTTTGTTGACTGTATAATTGCCACTTTGGAAATGTTCAAAATGCGCTTAAATTTTAATGTATCGTGTCAACATCGTGAAAGCCATTGTTGCGTCAACTTATTTTATTTAAAAGTGAATAATTTTAAATAGTATTTACATATGTAGGTTCTGCTCATTTTTCATAAACGGTGTTTGTAAAACAGATGAAATAATTGTTAACGTCATAGTGAATTAAGACGTACCATTTCATTCACTAAAAGTAAATTATTACGGTAAATTTTACTTTTTTGAATTCCTGCTAAATTTAAAAGTGCGCAACGTAGTTTTATTTGAGTTCTATGGAATATCGGTCGTAACAATTTTCAGGTCGTCCCAATCGCTAAATCCTCGTGTTGAAGAATCACAATCCACCACCTTTTCTAGTTCGGGCACCACTGTAGAGACATTATTTTCTTAAAGCAGGACATGTGAAAAATGTGCAATGCCCTCGCCGGGACTCGAACCACGGACCTCTCGAATACGCGCCGAGTTTGTTGACTGTTACACCACGAAGGCATGCTAAGAAGGCGGGGAAAATATCTTATAAGTTTGCATAAAACAGAAGTCTAAAGTTGCATTAATGACGAATACTGTTCTTACAAAGAGTCCATATTTACGCATTTCAGATTTACAATTTCGCGTTTTTTAACTTTCTGCGTAGATTATTCCCAAAATGATTAATTCCATTAAATTAAAAATAAGAAATCATCTGCCAAGTTCATTAAAATAAATTTATGGAGGTAAGCAAAATATGTAACGAAAATAAATTCTTAAAATGCATTTCTCGTTTAATCTTAAATCAACGATATATTTTTGGCTCTAATTTATTCGAAAGTTTTGTTGGTTAGTTACATAGAACATGAAGTCTACGTCTGTTAGAACGGGTGCCTTCAAGGAGAACGTTCTGAGAGAAACTTGTTCATGTGCTCGTTACACAAGGGAGAAACAATGAAAATCCCGTACAACCAGCTTGTTCACCAGAAGCTGAACTCAAGACCTACAAGTACTCAGTGGTTTTTATTAATTCGCTAGTGGTAGGCCCAAACATTTTATTTATAAGGAGTTGATGATTTCTATATGTTTTCATAACTTCATTTTAACAGCTTTATTTTACATAAAACAAGTTCTATCAAATAGTCTGCACATAAGTTCCTGCTCGTTGAATAAATTTTACCAAAATAACTGGCTGTGTATCTGGTATAATTTGTTTTCCATGGGAAGCCAGAGCCCGAAAATCACTGAATACAGATAGCAGCTGCTTTGCGTTTATTATTCAAAATTTAAGAAGATATTATAATCTTGAACTGATAAGTTTTTAAAAATATTTTCAACCATGAAATAAATTTTGTATGTCATTGTCCCTTCTTTTTCATAAAATGATACACTGCTTTGTATTCTTTCTTGACAACGCAGACAAGCACATTCGCCAAGTGAAGGGATGTACTCGTGGAGAAAATTTTTAAGGAAACTGGCTCGTATCCATATTAAACATCGGAAAAGTCACAAAAACTCTTTCAGCCGGCAGTTCGCCGGATTACGAGCCGAAGCCGAATTACCAACGATCAGCGACTTCATCATTCGGCCGCATTGTTTTATACTGGAAAGATAAATTCAGACTTAGTTCTACAGTAGAAAATGTAATCAACCGTATTTAAAACGACTACGCATACTTTCAAAAGATAAGATTGTGGTCTTTTGTAAAAGTGGTCATCTTACAGAAGACATCTGTCGGTGATGGCGATTATCAATTTTCATCATGGATTTACTCCATTCAAGGTTATTGGAAATTATTCAGTTATTTTAAAGATATTTACTGAAACCGAATTACGATATTTAGGTAAAGAAATATACTGAAGCAGAAGTGCGGTATTTAGGTAAGATTAATATAGTATTTCGGTAATATTGATAAATTACGATTTAATTAAAAAGATAAGTAGCTAATAAAGTAACAACAACGAAAGAGAATCTTAAATCATTATTATTTTTATTTTCTTGACTATCAGTGGATAACATTTTAAAATACGTTGAATAAATCTTGTGAGTAAAGCGAGAAACCTTAACCGAGATGATTTACATTCTAATTTTCATTATTAACTCCTTTAGTAAAGTTTACTCAAATATTCATTTAACGAAGTCTGTCTGTTAGATTTCATCTTTTGTTTAAAACATTCTGCATTTTTACTAAAGCTTTTCTCCAAATTATTTGAATTCATCTACAGGTGCTTTTCCGTCAACGTTTTTGCCACTAGCATCTTAAATTAAATTTTGTGATCTAAAATTTGAGTTAATATTGTTGTACCTTAAGCTAATATTGTTGGTATCTTAAGCTAATATTGTTGGAATATTTTATCTAAGGTTAGTCACTTAAAAGTTACGAGATCAAAATTCTACCCATACAGGCACTGAAATGTGACTCAAAATTAAAGGCAATTGCTTAAAAAAAAAAAAAAAAAAAAAAAAAAAAAAAAAATGTAGCTTAGAAAATGAGATAACTCGTTTAATGAGCAAATCATAGCTGCCAAAATCAAGCCAGTATGATAAATTAACAGCACGCTTAGAAAGAATAATTAAAATAGTTAATCACTTTAACGATTATCACTAAAGTGATTAATTACTCTTTTCCATTAGCTAGTTTCGCTGTTGTATTAAAACTCTCCGGTGATACCTCTGCTCTGAGGTGAGGACCGGGTATTCCATTTTTATGTTGCATTAAAACTCCCTCCCCCGGGGAATGCGATATAAAGTGCTTGGAATTTGAGTTTTAAAAAGCAATTATTACAATTTGTTTTAAGTCTAACTGAAAATCCAGCACTCGCTACTAATTTTGATTTCGGGAGCCTTGGCGTGGTAGTTTCTTTTGCTAAAATGTATTTATGAAACATATATATATGTTGAATGATCTAAAATTCATTTAGTTCGAAAACAAATTTTTCTAATACTTGCGCAATAGCTGCAAAGTAAGATAATAATAAATTATTTACTAAAGAAATATTGACTATATTATATCCTAAGATAAATTTAGTAGAAGTATCAAAAAAGAGGGAGCCCATATGCAGGAAGTTTAATTCCGAAAATTGTGTTTTAAAGTAATTTGAATGTAAATTATGAAAAAAAAAAAAAAAAAAAAAAAAGTTTAACTGGGACATTATTTCAATCCAATTAGCTGACCGGAAAGACCACTGCGGATTCATATATCGGGAGAGTTTTTTTTTTTTCCCGACCACCCTGTACATTTCTTCTCTGATGTCCACTACACTACTTAAACCTTTACTTCTGTATTCAGGTTAACTTTGTCTAGAGTATGATGACGAATAAAATCTATCATACAGTTAGCAGAATGTATAGAAAACATACAGTCTTTCATTCTAATGAAGTCATTCAATGATTCAAACCATTCACTTACTGTTTATTGACAGCTGAAATGTTTCTATGGTCCTAAAAGTTAAAAAACAACATGAATTTAGTACCTTTTAGATTTCGAGTATAAACGTATTATTATGAATTCAGTAGTCAAACAACAAAAATCAGCGTTATATTTACAAAATTTTCACAGGACTAGTTTCAATGGTTTTACCGAACCACCATCCTCAGCTGCAAAACCGCAAAAACAAACCTGAGGATGGTGGTTCGGTAAAACCATTGAAACTAGTCCTGTGAAATTTTGTAAATATAACGCTGATTTTTGTTGTTTGACTACCGAATTAGTATTTATTCGGCGTGTTATTGTGTTTTAACTATTATTATGAATTCTTATAAATTTAGCGCTCTTTAAGGATTTAGGGGAGAAATGTGTTACTTGAAGTAGGTGAGGCTTTAATGTGTGTACGCTTTCTGTAGTATACGCGCACACGCACATCACATTTCATTTTTAGGCTAACTCAAAAGGTAAAGAACAAGAATTCTTACGGGGTCATCTGTTTCCTTTTTACTGCAAGCAACGTCCAGAAGTACAGATGAAAGTCCTGACACTCCTTCTTTATCCAGTGCTTCTTTTAAAATGAGGTTTTTGGTAGATTCTTCAATTCCGACAGGAGAATGTTCGGAAGTAAGCGTCAGCTCAATATCACCGTCTTTTGATGGATCTCCCGGAATTGGAAGGGTACCAATAATACTGCCTGTGTGAAGAACAAGGAACTGAAACTTTAGATTCAATATAATTAATATATAATTTACATATGAGAGCATAAAAAGTGTTATTTAAAATCCGCAGAGAAGTTTAATTCTTTTATGCACATTTTATACGAATAAGGTGTTACTCAACAATGCTTCGAAATACGAATAAGATTTCACCTAATCGTTGCTAATAAAAATGGCTAAGAAATTACACCAGTAAAATACATTTTTATATTTGTTTAGCTGTACGTAAAAAAATATAATTTTTAATTCGTTCTAATGGAAACATATGTCTTTTAGTTAGATTTAATAAATGTTAACTTTAGAGTAATTTATCAATTTAGTGAAAACATTTTGGGGCTAGTGAATAATATTGAATCAGTTCCTCATTTTAAATTTCACAGACGCAAGATATTTTTTTGACAGAAAATAGCGTTCATAGCTTACGAATCGAAGCATTTATGAAGCGTTTCTGAATTCTTCCTAAATGACGGAAATTAAAATAAATCAGTTTGCGTTACAAAATGCGCAAAGACTGTGAATTCTGTCAACATGAAATCTGAAGCTGAATTCTAATTTATTAATTCATCTGTGCTTTTCAGGATTTGTTAAAACAGTTATACATATTATATATGTCAATCTTCGGCAATTACGTCGTCGACGCACAGTTAGTCATGCACGTTTTGCACAGAAATGTGACAATGAAATTATAAATAATGTTTGACACAATGATTTTTTAACTAATGCACAAATTAACAATTCGCTTTTGCACATATTCATTGCATCGTTGTTGAAATTAGAAGGAAAAACTGTTTAAGTATTTTATTTTAGGAAAGCATTCTAGTTCATGAACTTTTTTCCTACTTTTAATTTTTAATTAGTACTTTAATTCTACTTTAAGGAACTTAACTTCTCATTTTAACAGAAACAAGTGTACTCACCAACGGGCAAATCTTCCCGCACAGTAAACGTTTCTGATGATCCGCCATTTGAAAGATAGCATCGATCATCTGAAAATATAAAAGCATCCTTGAATTATGAATCACTGAAAAGTTGTGAATTTATTTAAATTAAATAGTAAAAAATGTTTTATAAACATAACAATATCAATAATTGAAATAATGTAAAAATTATGAAATTCAAAACATTTGTAACATAAATCTATTGCATCAGATACCTAAAAAGTATATGAAGAAAGCTGAGGAATTAATATATAAAATGAAAACTGAACATAAAATAAAACGTTAGATTTATAATGCAGCCTTATTATTTAATGCGCAGAATATTGTACATTTAAATCAAATTCTATCGACTAATTTGTCTAGAAAATTGCCTTAAATAGAAATAATTTTACTTTTGCTCACAGAGCAGTGAATGCTCTAATGTAACCGAATTAAATAACTAGATCGTGATCAATCAGGTATGATTCGTAACGATCAACAATTTTCGATCTAAGAACTTATATATAAAAATACGTAAGAAAAAAGTTCGGCGTACACAGTTTTAAATGTTTAGTTCGGTATAAATAGTTAACAAAAGAAAACGCCAGTCTATGGTTCCCACAATGATTCATACTACAATAGAAAATGGAGCAGTGTGCTCTTTCTGAAATGCTCTTATTCCTTTAAATAATAAAGTGAACCCCCAATATTCTGCTTCAAAATCGGTCTCCTAAAACGAATGTCCCAGAAAGCAGATATATGTGAGAAAATTTCGCATGTGTTTTCGTGTGCATCAAGCTGAAATTTTAAAGATGAAATTTTGTTTCTACTCTGTATGGAAGACAGTGACTGAAAGGATGTGCTATTAATAAACTTGAAGAATTTAAATCTACAGAGCAAAATAAACTATAAAATAAAAACACTTCACACCTTTTCAGCGCGTTGCCAATCTAGAGATAGAAACCGCAGTGTTTTTTGAACCGCGTGTAAAACTGTGCCTTAATTTAATCTTTATGGCATAATGATTGTTATATGTATAAATTTTGAAAACAAAATTCTTCATAGCTCTTAATAATAAAGCTTATTCAATATTTATTTCATATTTAACACTTAATATATGATAATGATAAACATTATGATACTATGATTTGGAGAAGATTTATTCCTTTTTTTCCCTTCATTTGCATTGCTATCTTAACTTGCAAATTTATTTCCTTGCAGAGCAACTTCGTTATCATTCCTTTCTTTTGATATATTGATGGATAATTTTATAAAAGCTTTAACAGTTGTCTCCATGTGACTGATTAGATGGGATCATAAGAATTAAAAGAGATCGCAATTCAAAAAAGAGAAAAAAAAATCTGCATCCTTCAATGCATCTTCAAAAAACAAGCTTCCAGAGCAAATAGAAGGACCGGAAGTGTCGTCTTTTGTTCGAGATACAATATGATAGCGTTAATGATGCGTATTATGCTTACACAAAGTGCTTACGGCGATGTGACATAAAAAAGGTCGATCTGTCAGATCGGTCATTAGGTGCCGGCTCTCAAAACGCATAGATTATTCGATCGGCCATCAGACATGAAATATTCTTTCGAAACATGTTTATCACACAATTCAATCTTAGAAGAAGTTCATCAGAACAGTCTCAGTTTGATGTAAATGTTACATATCAGAATTAATTAGAATTAGCACACGTATCTCATAGAGGCTTAATTAACATTTCGAGGACAATCCTAATTAAAATTCTAATAACACTTTATACTGCGTTGCGCTATGAGAATCTCCAAACAAATACGCTTGTTCGAGAAAGAAAACATTTTGTAAAGTTATAAAGTTTCACATTCCCTCCTTTTTTATATCAAAATATTTAAAAAATAATCTGTAGTTTTTAGTAAGTATATTATTTCTCACGGGTTTTATAAACACTATTTCACTAATTCGTATGATCAGAATTGTTTGAAAAAAACTACTGCTACCGCTCATAACTGGTGTCTCAAAAAATTTACCTTTTAAGTACTTTCAAATGTTCCCATTGATTGTTTTTTGAAAATTTTGGACATAAATAGATTAGATTCTGTATTTACTTATTATGTCTTATGTTAAGTCAAAATATCTTTTCATACTCTTAAACGTTTATAGAATATTGGATGTATGCAGCAAAATCTGACTTTATAAGAGCCTTTCCCCTTTTTTCTCTAAAGACATATAATTGATAACTTATCTGCATACTAAATCTTTTTGCCTTTATTGCAAAGATTAAATTTTGCGCAATATTAAATCGTCTTAGAAGTTTGAAATGACATGCCAGACTGAAAGGATTACTCTACAAAATCTTTACAATATAAATTTCGCAGATCTTAGACAAGGATTGGGATATAAAAACGTATACCATGAATTTCTTGGTTTGAATAAGAAAGACATTTTTTTTTTGTTAATGAAATCAGTATCGGGGTGTGGGATGACGATATTTTTTCTTGTTCCTTTAAGATTTCTTTCTGCAGTATCAGTTTCTACTAAGTGTAACTCTTTAATAAAAAATACTTGAAATCTTGATTATAAAAATAAATTTCATTTGATCAGAGTTGTATCAAATATTTTGCTTCAATATTAGATACTTGTAATATGTAATATGAGAATGTACAATAAATTCATATTATTTGTTTTATTGTTAACAACACTCTTAAGACAGCTTTAATAGAGATGTTAGTTTTATTTGCTCCTTAAACTGAGAAAGTATGCACTTAAATGGCTACTTCATTTATGTGTACTTATAAGAGTTTTAGTGTAATGCGTACAAACGTTTCTTTAACATAATCACACATAACATTGCAAAATATTTAACACGAACAAAGCCATACGGATGTATGTTTTTAGCTCTAAACCGCACTTGAACATATGCATATGTAAAAGAATTCGATATGAATTATTGCTATGAAAAACCTGAAACTGGCATTACACGAACATACTTGGAAATTATAGAGTGGTAAATTTATAAGATAGGAACATAAAAAATAAATTAAGTATATGGTGATGTATACGGTTATGCTGCTATAAAATTCCATTTGTTTATCCCTCTCATTAGGTTCAGTGTTACACATGACATCGCATGAATAATGGATGCAGACATAAATTTTTAATCTTGCCTGCAAGCTCTCAAACAGCGTTTTCTAGCTTCCAACTTTAGAGGCAATGGCCTAAATTTGAGAAAGCAAAATGCACATGAAAAGTACCGTAGAACTCGGGAGAAATGCACGCATACCAAACGTATATGAATCAAAATGTTCTGGGGGGGGGAGAAAAAAGGACTGCACATCTTTTGCGAGCGAATTGACAATAAATGGAAAGCAGCTAACAGATTGTCGTTATGTTAGGTCAAGGACATCTGCAAGCTCTCGAGCAGCACAATAGCTGAGAAGAGTCCCCAATTGTTTCGGAAGTTAAGAAAAAAAAATTCCATTCATTGATGACTTACCGCTTGGATAAAGTCTCCTTCTGGTGAGTCATAGAATTTTCCTTCTTTTGCGGTATAGAACGAGAGACAACAGAGGTTAATACGTTAATCTAAACCTCATATTCATTGTTTTTTTCCATCCAAGGAATAATGCGACAATAAGCAGAAGTTATCTGACTAATGTGACATCATTTAATGAGCTCTTTCAAAACAATATTCCCCGTATTATTATAAGCTTCGCGAATCACAATCGGCTGTGAAATGAGGGAACATATTTCATGGTCTTTAAATGAGGGGTAGTTATTAACTACTACAATAATTACAAGATGGTAATGATGGGTTATGGAAAGGATAAGAGGCAATAATACATGAATTCAGTAATCAAAAGGAACTGCAAGAATTCTTCAGTTCAGTAGCAATCAAATATAAAGTTTGAGATGATAATATATTTACTCAAAGTTAAACTATGCACTAATCATTATTATCAGATATAAAGTACTCTTCATTTTATTACAGAAATCCATATAATTCATTACTATATGGCATGCTCGTCTTTACTGTAAGGCACACATTTCATAGACACTAATTTTATATCATGTCGCTAATTTTGATAAATCCAAAAATTTATATTTCTGTAGTTTTAAACTTGCGTAACACTAGGAAAGAAGTTTTCACAGAAGGGTGAGTTCTTATGCAAAGAGAAGCATAGAATTGAAAAGGATGAGTTTTCCAAGTTTACTTATACCAAAGATTCCTTCGCGAAGAACCCTATTTAACAGAGGATTCTCATACGAAATACACCACCACTTTTAGCCACCGCCACCACCCCATAAATTCTTTACTGTGAATACTGAATCTAATGGTAGAGTATATAAGCTGGTAACTATTGGATAGTGGGCATGACTTATACAAATCTTGAATACTATTAGCCTACCAACGTTGAATTGAGTACACATTCTGTGCCTGTTCAGTTACTTTTTGCCCCACACACAGATATTTGTGTTTACATATTTCCTTCATTTATTAAACTTTCTTTTTTAATATAACAATAGGCGAGGAAAGGAAACGCTTAGTTGTATCTTTAAAAGTGAAAATGGATGGACTAGGAAGAAAAAAACTAAGAAAATATCTTGGAACTACGAAAGCTAGAAGAGAAACATAACAGAAACTAAAAAATATGTTTCTATTATAAACTGTTATCGAAACTATTATAAAAAGCACTTTTCTGTCCTGATACAGTAAAACAACACTACACCTACCAACATTAACATATTTTGTTAACTTCCATCACTTTACTTTAACTTCTATGTGCGGCGAACTATTCTCACTAAAATGTAATTACAATAAAACCTGTTTAATTATTAAAAATATATGTACTGATAGTTTCATAAATGATTTACTACAAAAATCCGCGTAAATGTTTAGTTTCCTAAGATAAAAGAAGGAGTTTAAGAATGATACTATTGTATATCACATACAAAAGAATAACGTAATATATTATTATCATATTTATGATTTTCAATCTGGATTAAAAGCAACTTTCTGTTATCAAAATTCTCATTTATCTGAAGAGCACGTTTTTACATTACCCAGTATAAATCAAGTTTTATAGGAG